ACCATGGCTTTGAAGAGTATTAACTAAAGCTAGATGGCTATCAAAATTTCGGAATTATCAGTATGCAAACAAGTTGAAATATACGTGAGTTTTGAATTTCAAACAATTGAATTTGTTCAAGTCCAGTTGTGACCAAAATCAGTACTTCAATACCCAAATAGAACTTGCATCGGGCTTAGGCTCATTCACGAGCCCAACATGGCAGCCTCTTGTTAAATAAGAATTGGGCTCATTTGCATAATAACAAGCCCAAAATGCTTAGCTTTGAATTAAGGCGTTTGGCAGCACTACGAACCATCAGGAGTATCTCCCATTTGGGTTGATCCTTAGGCCCAGCATTAGACAGCCCTTCATAAGGCTGAACGGATTTGCCTTGTTCTATTTTGTTTTGGGCCAATTTCGCAGCCCAGTATAGGGGCCTTAAGTAAGGCTATTGATTCAAACTGTAATATAAGCTTTGGGCCTTCAATTTAGGTGGCAGATTTGAACTAAGGGATTTTCAACAATAGAAATTTCCCTTGTTTAAATTTGGACTTGATCTTGAGGCCCATACTTTTTACGGCTTTAAATAATGATTAATTCGTAATGTCAATTAATTAGGCCTTTAGAGACAATCAATAATAGAGAATAATAGTTCATTTTAGGATGGCCTTTAAAAATAAATTGAGGTGTGCCGCGCCAAACAAAAATTCATAAATTGCGTGGCCCTCTTTAATTACGTCTTTAAAATCCATAGAAATCGGGACGTGCCATTTAGCGAATTTTCATGGCCTCCCGCAAAGTTAATAATACGTTAGTCACTTTGGGCGCGCTCTTTAATAATTTCACCTTCCTAAATTCGGGTGTGCATTTCATGTGACCCAAATCCAAATCCCAAAACGTTGAATAAAATGTGTCGCGGATCCGGGTGCATTTCATATGACGTGATCCAAAAACACGTTGTAGACGACGTTCAACCTTCTTTAAAATCAATTCATAAAGCGGTAAATATTTTTAAAATTGCACTATAGGATGAACATGTTTTAAAATCATATATTAGGCCATTTATAATAGTTTAAGCGACCGTGCTAGAACCACGGGATCCGGGGATGACTAACACCTTCCCCTGGGTCAACAGAATTCCTTATTCAGAATTTCTGGTTCGCAGACTCCACTCGGGAAGTCGAAATTTCCTCAATTTGGGATTCAAGATAAACCGGTGACTTGGGACACCAAAAGCCAAACCTATCCCAAGTGGAGACTCTAAAAATAAATAAAATAATTCCATTTCAAATAATGTCACTTTAAATGGAAAAACTCCCTTATACATTATCCTTCGGGGTAGGTGTGTAAAAAAAAGGAGGTGTGACAGCGCTCCATCCCCCGCAGGTGCGGTCCCGCAGGTGCGGTCCCGCATCTGCGTCAAATGACCGCATCTGCGGTCCCAGATCCCATCATCTCCAGCTGCTTCTGCGGTCCATCCCTCGCTTCTGTGGGACCGCTTCTGCGGTCCCATTTTCGCAGAAGCGGAAATACCAGCACCCAGCAGACCTCAGCCTTCCCAAAAATCCATTTTTGATCCTTTAACCACCCGGAATTCACCCGAGGCCCCAGGAACCTCAACCAAACCTACCAACCAATCCCAAAATACGTTACGGACTTGCTCGAGGCCTCAAATCACATCAAACAACGCTAAAATCATGAATCAACCCCCAATCCAAGCTTTATGAACTTTAGAACTTCCAACTTTTACTTTCGATGCTTAAACCTATCAAATCACGTCCGATTGACCTCAAATTTTGCACACAAGCCATATTTGACACTACAGACCTACTGCAACTTCCGGAATCGGATTCTGACCCCGATATCAAAATGTCCACTCCCGGTCAAACTTCTCAAAAACCTTCAAATTTCTATCTTTAGCCAAATGGCTCCAAAATGACCTACGGACCTCCGAATTCACTTCCGATTGCGCCCCCAACTCCATAATCACCATACGGAGCTATTCACAGTCTCGGAATCCCAAAAGGGCATCGATAACACTGAAATGCACTTCAAGCCAAACTTATGAAATTTCTTCTAAAATGCTAACTTCCACAATAGGCGCCAAAACACTCCCGGGTTATCCAAAACCCGAACCGGGCATACGCCCAAGTCCAAAATCATCATACGAACCTGCTGGAACCTTCAGATCCTGATACCGAGGTCGTTTACTCAAAAATCCAATCCTAGTTCATTCTTTCAACTTTCAGCTTCTGAAATGAGAATTCTCTTCCCAAATGGACTCTGAACTTCCCGAAACTTAATTTCGACCATGCTTACAAGTCATAATAACTGAAATGAAGCTGCTCATGGCCTCAGGCTGCTGAACGGAGCGCTAGAACTCAAAACGACCGGTCGGGTCGTTATATTCTCTCCCACTTAAACAAACGTTCGTCCTCGAACGTGCTGAGAACTATACTGGAGTAGTCTGAAATCACTGTTTAACACCTCATGCACCTTCCCGTGCTACCATAACTCTGTTGAGCACATTAGCTCGATCAATTGTGAAGATATTCCCTTTTATTAAGGCAAATAAGCCTTAGAGCCAAATTCCAACATCCGGAATTCTATGCCTGACCTGTTTCCAACATACGATCACTATATCAAGCACTACACGCTGTACCCAAACATGACTGTATAACTTTGCTGAATTCATACCTTTTCTTTACTTACCGGACCACGATAACATTTTTCTGTTCAACTTAGTTGAAATTCCATGAATCTGATGCTCCCATTGCACCCCATAACATTCACCGGTCTTACTCCAACTCTTACAATACCGTCACAACGGAAGAGATATGAAGAAATTCATAATCAACTGCCGAGCCAACCAATCATTGAGTCTATACTTCTGACAGGAAACGTTACCATATTCAGAACCAAATAGCGATCTTTGCTCCTTAACATATTTCACGTAATCAGATTGCACTGATCCTAAATCCAACAATCTCGTCTCACCCAATACGAACTGCTCAGGTAATGAGCCATCCCGACATAACCAAAAGTCTCGTTTGATGCCACAATGTGCCGATAGGCTACCAATTCGAACGCGATACCAAAGGAAAACGAACTTTGGAAGGAAATCCAATTACCCCGCTCGCGAATCATACATGCGACGCGGTAACATACTACACCGACACCCCGCTCGCGAATCATACATGCGACGCGGGCTCATGGCTAATATGAGCTTCCCTCAGAAAACAGGAAATGAAGCACATCAAACGGATATAGGGAACTGTGCTCAACATCACCCTACTGCGGTGTACCACCCGATTCAAATATCATAGATCTCGCATAAGGAGATTGCCCACCGAGCGAAATTTGCTCATTATAACAACATATCGAATATCGGTCATAAGCATGCTAAGTGCATAATACCATCCCTGAGGGAACATATAGCGTCATAAGCTACAAAACTCAAGCACAACTAGGGTGCGATATACAAACTGGATCTCAAGAGCCATCTTACTCATAATACATCATTTCTACACGGATCCTCATCACATAAGCAATTTCTCAGGCCGTTTCACAACTCGCACGGCGCAACGCATTACTTCATGAAATATATCTGCCAATGAAATAACACCTTGACTACTCCCACATAAGGAGCGCATTACTGAAATGAACACAACTGGCCTAACATAGGGCCCAAATTCACATTTACACCCATCCACCGACCTCAAGTCGATCCTGATCATATCAAACTAAGCCAATAACCCTTCAAAGGCCCATACTAATTTTCCCTTTTCTCATCACACACAAGGACAACCATCATAACCGGAGCGAACCTCCACAGTCCATAACCCAATAAAAAGAGTGCCCTCCAGGCATAAATTCTCAAATTAATGATATTACCATAATCCTCATACTTGGTCTAGATCTTAAATCAATCAAGTGACTACGTGCCACATTTATGAAACCTTCCTGTGGGACACTCCCCCACAATCTACCATAACAATTTACTGGGTCTTACCTCCAACCCACCGACCGCACTAACGTTGAAAAGCGATCAAGAATCATTAACCATGATCCAAACCCTCTTTACAAAACACCAATCTCAGGTGACGCTGAAGACATTGCCGACTTACTTTAAACACCAAAGTTCCTTTCCTGCTCATCCGAGCTCATGACGTCCTTACCAGCACCAAGCTGCAACCTTGATCCTCACTTTGAATTTCCATGCTACTCACTGCACCCAATGTGCCGACATACGATAGAACACGATTTTAACATTAATATTCTAACACTTCATCATATAAGAACTTTTCACTTAACTCACTTCAGGAAAATCATAGCAACACACAGGTAAATTCCCATAACCGCAGAATATGCAAACATCTAAGTAGTGGTCTAAGCCACCACAGCCCTTCCGGAATCTGCCTCCACATAACAAGTCATAACGGTAGAATGCTTCAAAATAATATCATTTACGACGGCTGACAAGCCTCATACGCACCGCCACAGATCACTTGCATAACTTAATCACGCTGAAAGAGCTGACCTCTACTGCCAACATGCCAACTAAATTATGGCTAACCAATCTATCTTCTCCCAATTTATCCTTGATTGCCTTAGAAATAATACTAATTCCATCCAACACATAGCATTTCCCATCTGCACTCATCTCGAGTGACCTGGAATCACGAGACCATGCTGTCTCAAATCCCATGAACTGACCCATATCTCTCAACTGCTACACCGCAAGCCAAAACATCACAGACCGTTCCGAGTCTCCATTCGTAAGCTGCTGCAAAAGCTTGATTCTCAACAGCACCTATAGGCTCGAAATCATTAAGCATCATACTTCATCTTCTGAATTTCACTAGGACCGCTGCTGAAGCCACCCGCTCTGACTCAGCCTCGAATATAACCAATTCCCTAAATTTTCTAGCACATGAGTGCCCCATTGGTGATGCACCTGGCGGAATCACTTCCCTTGAAACCCATACTTATACGAGGCATAAACCCTGAATCCTTTTTCAGATCTGAACATGAGCTAACAAGGCCAACCATGGCACACCTTCAACAATCCCTTTGCTCAATTCACCTCTTATGTTCTTTTCCCGCAGCTAGAATAACCCATCAATATACTAATAACCAGCAAACTTGCAAGTAATCAACTCTGCAACCCCATCACAAGCGGTGGGACTCTCCCTTTTAGCTTGAAGCCATAATTTCACCGATCTGGAACTCACTCGTCCTCTTTATTTCTTATTGACATAACCTTGCACAATCAACCGCCAAAATTCTCGAGATCTTTCTGTAAAACCCCCTTCTTATACTCTAAATCATCCACCACATTCGCACGATCGACCTCTTCGCTGCATACCCAATAGGATCCTTTGCAGAAGCCTCGCCAACTGCTAACCTGCTCACTTGGGTAACCCACCTATAAAAGCTCTCCCTGGCATCTTCCAACGCTGCTGCACGGGGTACAACCACTTCAACATCAGTAACCCATCCCGAGTCTGAGCTCACTCTCTAGCTGCGTAGGACCATTTACCCCTTGTGGAGATCATTTAAATGCGCGGCACATCCTTCCAATTCCAAGTTATGCTGCATCCTTCTTCACTAAAGCGACTCCTTTCCGTTATATTAAATCTCCTACCGCATGATAGCTTTTCCTTCTAATTAATTCTGTAGGCCCCAATAGCCAAACACCAATATTCCCAAATCGCTCTCTCCTTAAGGCGCATAGTCATCTTATTACCAATCCCCTACGCAGCTCCGCCACTCTCCCACTTTGGGCAAACTCACTCCCTTAATCGACTGCTCGGCCTGCACTTCCTAAGCCTGGCCTTTTAGCAATTTAACACTCCGCCTGACACTTCCCACATGGCTTTCTCATCCTTTGCTGCTCAATTGTTGCCTTAATAAAATTTATCTTCATAGCACTTGAATCCACAAATCGCTACTAACTCCAAACTTCTCCGAAGGTCATCTTTCTCGAACCGTCAACATTAGAAATAATAATTCAATCCTGAACCACCGCATCCTGCGATATCTGATAGTTGTATCTCCAATACTATTTCACAATACCTTGCCTCAAAGGTGAATTGTAGAATATCATAACACCGACAAACTTAATACGTCCAATTAGGATGACAGCACCCCAATATAGAAGAAAAATTCCACCACGCTTGCAATTACCGAGTCTCACTACTTCCACCAGTCCACATCTGACCCCTCCTTAGTTCGATTGCCTTTCCCCCTGTCGGGAATAAAATATCGAATCTCTTGAATATGCACCGAGTAAACCTCCCTTGAAATCATTCACTGCCCTGACACGCGGGCAACACCCTGCCATCATATTACTACTGCAGAATAGTCATTCATAAGCATCGCGGCAACTTATGCCTAGCCTCAAAGCCCTCAAAAATACTGCTACTGGGCTGAAACGATAAAATATTCTTCCATAAGGCGATGACAATAATCTGATCAGCTATACCGGGAGAAACATCCCGTATCACATCTGTAGTACCATCACGGTTCTTCAAATTTTGATTTACATCAAGCGTTTCGCGTCGCGTAAGATTGAGTAAGAAAGAAACGAAGGCATAAGCCTCACATGAAGTCAGATCGCACGATAAGGAATCAAGAAGGGAAGTACTCCTAACAGTCCTGCAGCCTCCCGAGGATAAGTACAGACGTCTCCGTACCGATCCGCGAGAGTCTACTAGACTTGCTCATGACTCGTGAGATCCTAAGAACCTAGTGCTCTGATACCATGTTGTCACGACCCAAAATCCACTACGGGTCGTGATGGCGCCGGACACCTTTGTCAGGCAAGCCAACTAAATTATCGATTAAATTCTCTTTTAATACCTTTAAAAATCTAGGATTTTTCCTTACATTTTTCATGAATAAACAGAAATCGCTATTTCAATTCAAGTTAAGCAATAAATAATTAGTACACATCTTTCGAAAACCATCCCAGAACTCGGTGTCACAAGTGCATGAGCATCTACTGATAAGGATATAAAATACAACACAACATTCGTCCGGGATACAATGGACGGAAAGAAAATACAATTTACTAGAAGGGACTTTACGAGCTGCGGGCCGCCTCGCATACTGCAACTCACCTAGTCCCCGAATCATCCATGCTGCTATGCCCAGTAGGCCGCTAAGGTAACATATACCTGTGCAACAAAAATGCACAGAAGTGTAGTATGAATACGTAATCAACGTGTACTCAGTGAGTATCCCGCCTAACCTCAAAGAGGTAGAGACGAGATGGTCAACCCGGACACTCACTAGCGGTCCAATAATAATATACTAAACATGTGAGGAAATCATGGATTCATATAGCATGTCCTAACTAACAAAGTCGTAAAACAGGTAAACACCTTTTAACAATTAACAAAGGATTTTCAAGATTTACTTCTCTTCATTTTAATCAATTCATCCCAAGCCATGAAAGGCAATATCATCATTTAAGATTTCTCATGCATCAATATATAAAAGATATCATGCGCAAATCATACCGAGGCGACGGCCCGATCCAATAGAAAACAAATGTGCACTTGTCGAGGGTCGACGACGCGCCTATAGATGCATCTATTTCCCCGCTCACGAATTAATCATGCGACGCGGTCAACATAAAATAAACACATACCCTGCTCGCGAATCATACATGCGACGCAGGTACACATAGAGGTACATGCTCAATCAATCAAGTAAGGACTTATCAGGGAGTGTTTATCATAATACATCCAACTCTCTTTTAACAAATTTTAAGTAGTAAGGTTAAATCCCTTTAGAAATTCATTTACAAATTCCATGTGATATAAGCAATTTAAGCTATCAAAGAGTTTACAAATAATCCAAGTATTCATGCTTTTGGGTCCTAGCTACCCGGACAATAGCATAATAGTAGCTACGCACGGACTCTCGTCACCTCGTGCGTACGTAGCCCCCACAAATAGGAGCACATAACCAATTAATTCACCTATGGGGACGTTTCCCCCTCACAAGGTTAGAAAGGAGACTCACCTCGCTCCGAAGATTCATAACCGGCATTCCACGCCCTTCTGGGGACTCTAATTGATGCACCATGCTCCAAAACTAGCCAACAGTTATGCAAATCCATTAATATATGCCTAAATATTCATTACAAACTAATTCATAGCAATTCCTAACTCCGATCGAAAAGTTGACCAAAACGCCCTCGGGCCCACGTGCCCGGAATCCAAAAATTTTCGAAGATAAAGATTACCCATGGCTTCACTAGCTCAAATATATAATTTACTCCTAATTCCATGCTCAAATTCGTGATCGTAATTCAAGAACACTAATTTTCTAGGTCTTCCCTCAAACCCCAAGTTTTTCTACAATTTCATGCTCAAATCCATACATAATTGATGTATTTAACTCAAAATAGGTGGGGGGGTAACTTACCTTGCCATTGGTGATGGAAATCCTCTCTAAAATTCTCCAAGAATCGCCCCAAGCCAAGAAAAATATGATGAGAAATGGCCAAAATCGGATATTAAAACAACATTCTGCCCCAGGTCTTTCCGCATCTGCGGCTCCCAGACCGCTTCTGCGGTCCCGCAGATGCGGCCCCAATACCGCATCTGCGGTCCTCACCAGGCCTCCCCATTTCCGCTCCTGCGCTCCATCCCCCGCAGGTGCGGTCCCGCATCTGCGGCAAAATGACCGCATCTGTGGTCCTAGCTCCCATCGTCTCCAGCCACTTCTGCGGTCCATCCCTCACTTCTGCGGGGCCGCTTCTGCGGTCCCATTTCCGCAGAAGCGGAAATACCAGCTCCCACCAGACCTCAGCCTTCCCAAAAATCCATTTTTGATCCGTTAACCACCTGAAATTCACCCGAGGCCCCCGGGACCTCAACCAAACCTACCAACCAATCCCAAAATACGTTACGGACTTGCTCGAGGCCTCAAATCACATCAAACAACGCTAAAATCATGAATCAACCCCCAATCCAAGCTTTATGAACTTTAGAACTTCCAACTTTTACTTTCGATGCTTAAACCTATCAAATCACGTCCGATTGACCTCAAATTTTGCACACAAGTCATATTTGAGACTACGGACCTACTGCAGCTTCCGGAACCGAATTCCGACCCCGATATCAAAAAGTCCACTCCCGGTCAAACTTCTCAAAAACCTTCAAATTTCTATCTTTAGCCAAATGGCTCCAAAATGACCTACGGACCTCCGAATTCACTTCCGATCGCGCCCCCAACTCCAGAATCACCATACGGATCTATTCACAGTCTCGGAATCCCAAACGGGCATCGATAACACTGAAATGTACTCAAGCCAAACTTATGTTCTAAAATGCTAACTTCCACAATAGGCGCCAAAACACTCCCGGGTTATCCAAAACCCGAACCGGGGATACGCCTAAGTCCGAAATCATCATACGAACCTGCTGGAACCTTTATATCCCGATTCCGAGGTCGTTTACTCAAAAATCTGATCCTAGTTCATTCTTTCAACTTTCAGCTTCTGAAATGAGAATTCTCTTCCCAAATGGACTCTGAACTTCCCGGAACTTAATTCCGACCATGCGTACAAGTCATAATAACTGAAATGAAGCTGCTCATGGCCTCAGGCTGCTGAACGGAGCGCTAGAACTCAAAACGACTGGTCGGGTCGTTACAATTCAACTTCAAAACTCCGTCACTTCCTAGAGTGAAAGCAGTGATTTCTTTGCTTCTGACTCCTTCTTTTAATTTCACTAAGTACGGATCTTCGTCTTGCTTAGCCTTAACATGCGCAACAAGGGAGGATTGCGCTAAGGCATAAGCACTTATATCTCCTTCTTCGGTCTCATCCAATCTAATTCCATCATTTGCTAGTTTTTGAATTTCTCGACCCAAAGATCGCCTTTGTACTGCAAGATGGGCCAAGATACCCATTGACTTCCTACTAAGTGCATCTGCTACCACATTAGCTTTGCCCGGGTGATAAATGATATTGATGTCATAATCTTTCAATAGCTCGGGCCACCTTCTCTGTCTCAAATTTAGTTCTTTTTGCTTGAAAATGTACTGGAGACTTTTGTGATCTGTAAACACTTCAGAATGCTCGCCATAAAGGTAGTGTCGCCATATTTTTAATGCAAACACCACTGCTGCAAGCTCCAAGTCGTGTGTGGGTTAGTTCTTTTCATGATTCTTTAACTGCCTGGTAGCATAAGCAATAACTTTTCCATTTTGCATAAGAACACAACCGAGACCAACTCTCGAGGCATCACAATACACTGTGAACCCACCCGAACCTGTCGGCAAGGTTAATACAGGTGCAGTGGTCAACCTTTTCTTTAACTCTTGAAAACTTTGCTCACAAGCGTCTGACCACTGGAACTTAACTGCTTTCTGAGTCAACTTAGTTAGTGGAGCTGCAAGTAAGGAAAACCCCTCTACAAACCTTCTATAGTAGCCAGCTAGCCCCAAGAAACTCCTGATTTCGGTTGGCGTTGTCGGCCTAGGCCAGTTCTTGACTGCTTCTGTCTTCTGAGGGTCTGCTTTTATTCCTTCACTAGATGCCACGTGGCCTAAGAATGCAACTGACTGCAACCAGAACTCACATTTTGAAAACTTGGCATAAAGCTCATTCTCCTTCAAGGTCTGCAAGGCTATTCTGAGGTGTTCTGCATGATCTTCCTTGCTCTTAGAGTACACCCAAATATCGTCTATAAACACAATAATAAAGGTATCCAGGAATGGCTTGAAAACTCTGTTTATGAGGTCCATGAATGCAGCTGGAGCATTTGTCAACCCGAAGGACATCACTAGAAATTCATAGTGCCCGTAGCGAGTTCTAAAGGTTGTTTTAGATATATCCTCTTTTCTGATTCTCAACTGATGGTACCCGGACCTCAAGTCTATTTTTGAAAAGTACTTTGCACCCTGAAGTTGATCAAGTAAATCATCAATTCTTGGCAGTGGGTACTTGTTCTTAATGGTAACTTTATTCAACTGCCGATAGTCGACACACATTCTGAGAGACCCATCTTTCTTCTTGACAAACAGGACCGGGGCACCCCACGGTGAAACACTCGGTCTGATGAAGCCCTTGTCTAGAAGGTCTTTCAACTGTTCTCTCAACTCATTAAGTTCTGGAGCCATCCTATAAGGAGGTATAGATATGGGCTGAGTGCCTAGCATGAGATCAATGCCAAAGTCTATGATTCTTTCGGGAGGAAGTCCGGGAAGGTCATCTGGGTAAACTTCTGGAAATTCTCTAACAACTGGAACTGACTGAAGAGCTGGTGGTTCTGATTCTGGATTAATGATGTGAGCCAAATAGGCGATACACCCCTTACCGATCATTCGTTGTGCCTTAAGGTAAGAAATAAACTTACCTCCAAGCGATGCTGAACTACCCTTCCACTCTAAGACTTCTTCATTTGGAAATTGGAACCTGACTATCTTGGCATGACAATCTAACATGGCATAGCAGGAAGACAACCAATCCATACCCATGATCACATCAAAATCATCGGCTTTGGTGTTGCGACCTTGGACTGAAACTATACAACCTCTATAGACTCTGGTGACTTTCACCGACTCGTCAACTGGAGTAGATACTAGGAATGGCTCACTAAGTTGTTCAGGTTCTAGTCCGAGGTTAATTGCAAAGTATGGAGTCACATATGAAAACGTTAAACCTGGATCCATTATGGCATAAGCATTATGTGAGCAGACTAAAAGTATACCTGTAATAACTTCTGCATATGCCTCTGCACTCTGACGATCAAGTGTAGCAAATAAATGGGGTTGTTCCCCTCCCTGAGTAACTCGGTCTGCACCTTTGCCTGCTCCATGCCCGGTCTGATTATGAGAACCACGAGCCTGAGGTGGTGCAACTGCAGTAGCTGAGGAACTAGAAGGACGAGTTGATCCACCACTGAAATTACGTCGCAACTTTGGGCAGTTGGCCTTTATATGACCAATGTCTCCACAATGGTAGCAACCATGAAACCCGAGCTTGCACTGACCTGAATGTTGCCGCTTACATGTTCCACAAAGACCTTGTTGGTGTGAATGTTGCTCAGCATGACTCTGGCTATGTGAGGATGATGTCCTAAAATTCTGATTCTGGCGAGACTGATTTCCATATTTCTGAGTACGTCTGAAGGAAGACCCACCACCTGACTGATGATTGGATTGAGCTGGTGCTAATGACTCCTTATTAGAGGAATCCCTTCCACCTCCGCTGGATGTACCACTAAACCTGCCCATTGTTCGGGCTTTCTTGTTATGCTCTTTTTCTTCTCTCCTTAGTTGTCTGTCTTTTTCTAAGTGCTTGGCAAATCCCACAACAGAGGAGAAGGCTTTCATCCCTACTGCTACAGCTGATGTCGTATCCTTAATGTGGTAAGCTAAACCGCCAACAAACCTACGAATCTTTGCTCTTTCAGTCTTAACCATGTGAGGAGCATGCTTAGCTAACCTTATGAATTCCATGTAGTACTCTTGCACACTTTTATTCCCTTGCTTGAGCTGTTCGAACTCTGTAGCCTTAGCTTCCCTATCCTCTTCTGGGATAAAGTTAGCCATGAAGGCCTCTTCAAATTCTTCCCAAGTAGGCGGACCATCATCTTCATCTCTTTCATTTTCCCACATCTCAAACCAAGCGCCGGCCACATCTCTAAGCTGGTAAGCAGCTAGCTCCACAGCTTCATCATCAAATGCTTTCATCACTCGGAGAGCTTTCTTGACACCCTCCAGCCACAACATCAGATCTTCATCAACTAGAGAACCCTGGAACACTGGAGGACTCAACTTCAAAAATTCATTCACTCTTGAGGACTCAGAATTGTTCTGTCTATTTGATTGAGGTGGAATCTCATCTCTTCTCTCGTTCTGGTTGGCCATAAAGGCTTTAAACATCTCCATAGCACTGTTGACTGCATTAAACATCTGACCCACCTCTGGGGATATAGTTGTCTGAGCCGGAGCTGCTGGTGGGGGCGGTACTGGATCCTGAGGTACTGGATCATCATGCTCCACCCCTTCTTCATGTTCAACCCGGGTTACTTGAACCCCATTTGTAGATTTACCCTTCCTTTTCTGAGTTGAAGCCTTTTTAGTTTTGCCTTGATCCACAATAGTAGCAATAGTTTCTTGAGCAGCATCCTGAGTGTCGGTGTCAGAGTTGCGAGTACGAGCCATTTCTGTGAGTTTTAAAGAAATGAATACATTAGATAGTTTCTTAGAGGTAGGCTCTACTGCACGATCTAAAGTATGAAAAAAATGAGACTTTTCCTAAATGCTTGTAGCCTCCTGTTTATAAGTATGGCGCGTTTCATACCCATAAACAAGACTCTACTAACACAGCTTCATAGACCCCTAGGACTCCATAAACCTGAGGCTCTGATACCAAGTTTGTCATGACCCATTTTCTGAACAAGCCGAGACCGGCACTCGATCACTAAACATGACCGAGCGAACCATCTCTGCTTATCAAACCTATTATAACTCCAAACTTTATATGTAACAAAGCAATACTCTAACCAACTACTTTTGATTAATTCAAATAATTATATAAATCAACTCCAAATCTTTACTCGTAGTAACTACTGAATTATTGCTAAGTTATTATAAAATGACATCTGAATCTCAACCCAATGACCATGTCTATGAAGCCTCTATTGATAAACTGAAGCACTGCTCAGGACATGAGATTTCCTGGCCAGTTCCCTAAGTAAACAAAGAAATAGCTAAATAAAAATGACTCTAAGGAATACTCCACGAACAAAAGCGGAGCTCACCAATAGCACTGGAAGGGAAGGAAGTCCTAACTCGTAGCCTGCTCGCTTGCAAATCCGGTTCCTACGTTGTACCGCAGACCAACGTAGGTTCCCAAAAGAGAACGTCAGTACCATCCATTGTACTCAGTGAGTCTCAACAACAGGGGCGAAACTTTAATAACATATACATTACGAGCAAAGGTTCTAAATGCATGTAAAACATAAAGCGTATAAGAATAATTCTAAATAATCGCATAATAGCAGTTTATGAATATTCTAAAAGAAATTCTTTTCCTTTTTTTCTTTCTTATAAAAAAAATACTTCACTTTATACTTTGGGAGTTCCAACTATTCTGACTTAATTTTGTCTCAGTCACCGTGTGATCGGCACGGGTTCGATCCCAACCTGATCGAATAGGCCCAATCCACGAGGTGCCACTCGCTTCATGGTTCTCAGCGCTCATGTATCATACCTTAGCATGGCTAAGTAATTTCTCAGCAACGAGACCCTCGGCTCGTGTGCTCCCTACTTTGGCACAAGTAGTTTCAGGAAGTCAACGCCTTGGTCAGGACCCTCGGCCTGGACGATGACCTCTTCTCAGAATAAATGATACTCCCAAAAATCTTTTCTTTCTAAAACTTCTTCTTGTGACTTTTCAAGTCTAAATCTTTTATACATACTCATACTGGTATCCTTAAATGTAAGGCATGCCATAAGAATGAAATAAACATTCAAAAGTATTTATAAAGGTTCTTGACCCTTCATGAATTTTCAACATGAAAATGGCATATATGAATAACATAAAAATCTGAAATTTATGCACATATATCCAAATAATCATCTAAACTTTAGCTAGAAAATAATTCTACTTATTGTTGATATAGAGGAAGAAGGGAACTAACTATTCAATTCTTACTATTACCACTGTAGGATAATTAACAATAGGGAATTTTATATACCCGAGTTTAAGAATTCGTGACTTGTAAAGAACCTAGAATTCTCCGTGTGTGGCTGCCTCCGTTTCGCAGGCTTGCGTTTGAAAACAGAATCTCTGTTTTGTTCAGGGCATTAAGCCCTTTGTATTCCTTTTTTTTTTGTACCCACTTTAGGTCACGTGCACTATCCTTTTTCCTTTATTTTGTTTGTTTGTTTGTTTTTTTTTTAATTTTAAAACTTAGCTAATAATTAATGATACCCACTATTAATAATTAATAATATTAAAATTATTAATATTTTTCTAATTGTATATTCAATTTTATATATATATGTAGGCAAGATAAAAATAATAAAAATAGCAATAATTTAGTTCAATAATTAGCGTGTCTCGAAACTTTTATAAATTTGAGAAGTGTTACAATTATTTTGTAAAAATAAATTGATTTCTTTCTTGATTACATAACTGGACACTTATTTGAACCAAAATGAAAAAGCAAATTGGTCACTTATTGTGAATCGGAGGGAGTACTTTTTAGGGTTTTTGGGAAATATCCCATATAAATAGGAGGAGATAGAGAACAAAAAGGGGGATTTTTACTTTATGAGAAAAACACATTGTAAAAGGTTGACCTGAGAGAATATACAACAGTTGTCTTGTTCATTGATTATCCTATTCAAGCATACGGTTTTACTTCTTTATTCACAAGATCCAAACATCCTTCAACCCTCTTTATTTCTCTTTTCTCCACGTTGCTATCAGAGAAAAGAATCATTCAAGTCTTATAATAATTGGGTGGTAGATTCCTTTTCGTTATATTCATTGTCATAATCTACATTTATTGCACATTTACGTTGTTGCATTTACGAGCATTTAATCAGTACAAACACATTGATTAACATTGTTTATCTTAACCGGCTTTGTATAACATTTGGTCTGGATTTTATTATTCTTAACTAAAATTCACCTTTCATTTTATCATTAATTGATTTAACTAAAAGGTTCAACACTTTTTGGTCAAACATATAGCTTTATCTTTGTTGTAAGGCTCTCCTTCAAGTTTTATATGGTTTTTATATTCTAGTATTTGCTTTATCTATACAAATACAGTATTCCTTATTGTGCTTAGGAATTTTTACCTCTTTTAGTAAAGGTTAACACCTTATTTATTTTAAATAAATACCATTTTAAAAAATTATATTCTATAGATATCTTTTAATGTTTATAGCAAAATATCTAATTTTGGTTACCTCCTACCCCTAAGCCACTAAATACGCTATTCAGTTACACTATTTTCTTTCTCTCTCTACTTTGATACATGCCATTCTCTTCCCCCACACTATGCTCAGTCTCAAAATTCCTCTCACCCACATCACCTACTATTAGTCACAAGCGGTGATTTTGCCTGGTATACCACGAAGACTTCCAGCTAGTGAGCAGCCTCCTGGCCCATCAGGCAATCCGATAAGACAAGCCAGACTATTTCGATTTGCTGAACCCTAAACCCTTCCGTTGCAATCATAACTGCAGAAGAAATCCTTACATCTCCCTGTTCGCATAGCTATGGCGAAGAACAGAAACAGGAATAAGAAAAATGGTCGTGCGGCTATGGATGTCTCCCTCTGACAAGACGGTCACGGGTCCCTAGGCAGTGTTAGTAATTTCTGCAACCGAAATTGAATCCAAAAGGAGATGAAGCCTCCGATCAACGGCGGCGTGGGAACAGTGAGATTCAGGGTTTTTGCTCGACGGCGGATTCGCCGGAAATTAGGGTTGTTCTTGAACAAAGACGACGGAGTTTGGGGCTGAGCAACTTGATTTTCTGTTCATATATTTCAATATTTTTTCAACGTGTCACGCTGTATTTTCATGTATTTCACTGTATTCATTGTCTTTTTTTCATTGTAATTCAATGTATCTCGCTTTATTTCATGTATTTCATTGTATTCACTGTCTTTTTTTCCATTGTATTTCAATGTATCCCATTGTATTCTATGTATTTCATTGTATTCACTGTCTCGCTATATGCCATGAATGTATTCATATGTTTTTTTTAATTAATATAATTTGTATTAAGATGTATTATATAATTTCTCTGAAGATTGCTATATTTTTGGGATATTTTTCGGTTGACAATCTTTTTTATAACTGAAAATACAAATTTTGTGTGTTATAATTGAGTTTGTTGAGTTATATTAGGAGTCTAATATGTTAATTGACTCATTTTCCGTTTAAAAATAGTGTAATCCCCTGTTTCACGCCATGAATACAGTCGAATACAATAATCTGTCCAGCTGTAATCCCATGTTTCACGCCATGAATACAGTTGAATACACTCGAATACAACAGTTGATTAGCTGGACTTCCCTGATTCACGCCTATTTTTGCTTCTGTATTCATGAATACAGTAGCTTAAATATATCTAATACATCTTATAACAACAGAAAATATATCTACAACTCGTAATATAGCAAATGGTATCTATACATTGCTAATTACCACTAAAAGATAGTTATTTATGAAAATTTCTCTTATGCTTACACCTTACCAAATTAGAGTTGTAGGTACGCGCCCAATCCAAACTCTATTTTTCAAATGACGCGTCAAAGATGGCCTCTATCACTCCCGCAGTCCAACCAATCAGAATCTTTTGGCCCACTACTTGTTGAGGAACACGTTGCCGTCAGTCTTGTAAATAAACATAACGTTTAACCAGTTATTTTCATACAAAAATAATTACTTAAAACTGATTTTTCCGAGCTTAGAAATAATTTTCTCTAAAAGGGAAAGGTCACGTGCCAGCTGTTCTCGTTATCCAATATGACCGTGTCGAGCTGTCATAGCTGTAAAACTCATTTCCTATGATTTTGCTAATTAATTACTCCCTCCGGTCCAAAATAAGTGATTTTTTGATTTTTTTTGTGGTCCAAATTTCAAGAATGAATTAATTATTTTTTCCATACATTGTCCTTGGAGTAAATAGTGTTGGAGTATGTGTTAGGAGTGTTTATCTGAGATACTAAAGATGAATATGGTCAATTTCATTGTTAATTACTGCTAAAAGATGAATTTTTTAATCTGTGTCAAAACATCCAAAAAATACCGGAGGGAGTAGGTTGCAATATTTGTTCTATAACAGGATAAAGTGAAAAACGAAAAAGTACCAGCATTATGTAACCTTCTTTACAGTTAACTTTTCAATAATCGACGAATTTTAATGTGTTTGTATCCTCTAAAAACCAGTAGTAGTAACTTTCTTCTATTATTGATTTCTTTTATTGCTTTCCTTTTTGCTATCGTTTTTACTTCAAATGTTGAAAATGGTGATGCTGCGATCAAAACCAATAACGTCCCAAAAATAAAAGGCATTAAATGAAACGTTCAAAATATGAGAAAGTTCCAAACGCATTGCTCAATAGTCAAAAGATTGAGAAAGATGAAACATAGTACCCAAAAACATGTTCAGAAATCAGACCAATACTTTGAACACCACTAGCAACTCCGTGTCAAAATAGGCCACGGTCCCATTAAAAATATGAGAGGTAGATTGATGACGTGTATGTATATCTATATCTATATTTATAAATATGAGACAGAGTATGATGATATAAAAGATCTTTTAATTTATTAATTTTGACCGTAAAAATTACATACAAAAGCTAATTACGTCGTAGAAATAATCTCTTGCAAAAATAAAAATGCGTTCAATAAATTCTTATAGTCGTATCTTTCCACGAACCCTACACATAGTAGGAACTTAATGCACCGGACTGCTCTAACGACATACTAGCCATTTTGGTGCAAGTCGGTCTTCCTCCTTCGTTCTTATCCACTCTCCCCTACCTCCCTTGTACAAAATATTCTCTATATATATCTACACTTTATTTTTTCGAAGTTTTCCATATATTTACTTCTCAATGGTAGTCTTATGTTTTCATCTCTTATATTCTTGAAGCATACACTTTATGTCTGTAACACCCACCGATAAAAGAAAGTACCCATCGCTCTTGTCCAAATTTTCATATCCTTTTATAGTATAAAGTTCTGAACTTTTCTCTTATCTTATCGCAGACGTAAGATCTTTATGAACTCTAGGTGTTTCTTATTTTTGTCATTATGTTGTCTCGATCTTGTTTCAATTTGCTAAATTTTGACCAGTATCTCTACAGTGTTGATCGGGCCAGAATCCCAAGAGTCATGACTTTTCCAGGGATTATATCAGAATTTGATGAGGAGGGCTTAGAAGGGAATAATAGTAATGTTGAGGTGGATAATGAATATGAGAGAAGAATCATTGTTGCCAACCAGTTGCCAGTCAAAGCTTATAGGAATTCTGAAACCAAGAAATGGTGCTTTGAATGGGACAGATATGCGTTGGACACTTTGATTTTGCAGCTCAAAGATGGGTTTTCACCAAATGTAGAGATTATATATGTGGGGTGTTTGAAAGCAGAGGTTGATCCCTCAGAACAAGATGAAGTGGCTCAATTTCTGTTGGACAAGTTTAGGTGTGTGCCCACTTTCTTGCCTTTGGATTTAATAAACAAGTTTTATCATGGTTTTTGCAAGCACTATCTATGGCCTTTGTTTCATTACATGTTGCCTGTAACACCTAGCCATGGAGTCAGGTTTGACAAGTCTATGTGGCAGGCTTATGTCTCAGCAAACAAGATTTTTGCTGATAAGGTTTATGAAGTGATCAATCCAGATGAAGATTATGTATGGATTCAAGATTATCACCTTATGGTCCTGCCTACTTTCTTGAGGAGAAGGTACAATAGAGTAAAGGTTGGGTTTTTTCTTCACAGTCCTTTTCCATCATCTGAAATATACCGAACATTGCCTGTTAGGGAAGCGATTTTGAGGGCTTTATTGAATTGTGATCTTGTAGGCTTTCAGACATTTGATTATGCTAGGCATTTCTTATCATGTTGTAGTAGGATGTTGGGCTTGGACTATCAATCCAAGAGGGGTTATATTGGTCTTGACTATTATGGTAGAACTGTGACCATTAAAATCCTTCCAGTTGGTATTCACATGGGACAGCTCCAAAATGTTATGTCACTACCAGACACTGGAAAGAAAGCAAAGGAGTTGAAAGAAAAATATGAGGGGAAAATTGTGATGTTAGGTATTGATGATATGGACATGTTTAAAGGAATTGGTCTAAAGTTTCTGGCAATGGGGAGGCTTCTAGATGAGAGCCCTGTCTTGAGGGGTAAAGTGGTATTAGTTCAGATAACCAACCCTCCTAGAAGTAAAGGTAGTGATGTCCAAGAGGTTCAAAAAGAGGTCAACAGAATTGCAAGTGAAATTAATAAAAAATATGGCAAACCGGGGTACAAGCCGATTGTTTGTATCAATGGTCCAGTTTCTACCCAAGACAAGATTGCACATTATGCAATCTCTGAGTGTGTTGTTGTTAATGCTGTTAGAGATGGGATGAACTTGGTGCCTTATGAGTATACGGTCTCTAGGCAGGGAAGCGATAATCTGGATAAGGCCTTGCAGCTAGATGGTTCTGCAGCTTCCAGGAAAAGTGTGATTATTGTATCTGAATTCGTTGGGTGCTCGCCATCTCTTAGTGGTGCAATCCGTGTAAATCCTTGGAATATTGACAGTGTATCTGAGGCTATGGGTTTGGCAGTGACCATGCCAGATCCAGAGAAAGAATTGCGCCACGAGAAGCATTACAAATATGTTTCTTCTCATGATGTGGCATATTGGGCTAGGAGTTTCGATCAGGACCTTCAAAGAGCTTGTGCCGAGCATTATCACAAGAGATGTTGGGGCATTGGTTTTGGTCTGGGCTTCAGGGTTGTTGCCCTCGATCCTAATTTCAGGAAGCTTTCGGTGGAACACATTGTCTCTGCTTACAACAGGACAAACAGCAGGCTTATCTTGCTCGACTACGATGGTACCATGATGCCTGAGGATAAGGTGAATAAAGCTCCTGGTGAAGAAGTCATCTCAGTTTTGAATGGTTTATGCAGTGATCCAAAGAATGTCGTTTTTATAGTGAGTGGCAGAGGTAAGGATTCTTTGAGTCAGTGGTTATCTCCATGTCCAAGACTCGGGCTATCAGCTGAACATGGTTATTTTACAAGGTATCACAGTGTTGCCACTTTGATTTCATTAACTCATTGCTGCCATTTAAACTTTATTGACCAAGATCAGCTTCTTCTTGTGTGCTGCTTTCTTTAACTAACTGTTCGTATCTTGCTTGATTTAATCCCTTGTAAAGGTGGAGTAAGGATTCGGAGTGGGAATCACGTCCGATAGCTGCAGACATGGACTGGAAAAGGGTAGCACTTCCTGTTATGGAGCATTATACAGAGGCAACAGATGGTTCATCAATAGAGCAAAAGGAGAGTGCCCTGGTATGGCATCATCAAGAAGCCGACCCTGACTTTGGTGCTTGGCAAGCAAAAGAGCTGCTTGATCACTTGGAGAGTGTACTAGCTAATGAACCTGTGCTTGTGAAAAGAGGTCAACACATAGTTGAGGTGAAACCACAGGTATGAGAAAAAAAGGATGATGGCTGAATAATATTTCAAACCTTGTAAACTGAAATGAATGCTAAACTTATTCATTGATTGCAGGATATAAGCAAAGGCATTGTTGTTGAGAGTCTGATCGCGTCAATGAAGAGCAGAGGGATGCCACCGGATTTTGTTTTGTGTATAGGCGATGACAGATCAGACGAAGACATGTTTGAGAGCATTGCAAGTCATGTGTCCAACCACTTTTTGCTTGATAAAGCAGAAGTGTTTGCTTGCACTGTTGGTCAGAAACCAAGCATGGCCAAATACTATCTTGATGATACAGTTGAAGTTTTAAAAATGCTTCAAGGCCTTTCAGCAGCAACTGCAGCAGCACCACGGCAATTGCCTATGTTAGAATAGTCATGTAAATAGGAGTAAATAAATAACCCTAATCCAATATATGTTAGGAGTAGGACATGTTATGTGTGTATATATATAGGGCTCATTGTAACATATGTATATACATCAATAATATATTTTCTCCCGTGCTTTCTCACATGGTATCAGAGCTTTAGTGAGAAACATATCGCTGTGCATCATTCCAGCGACTTCCGGGAAGAAAGAACTCAGTCACCGTGCAATTTTCCGGTGACCTAAGTGACTTATTGCGTCAAAGTCACTAATTAACAGTGTTGTGCAAAATCCAACACCACCACAAGGTTCCCAAGAGAGATCCGACCAAACCCCAGAAAAAATCACCGGAAAATAGCCCTCCACGCGCCGTCACGCGCCTGTCGGAACTCTGCCGCCGCCGGCGCGTCTGTCCCACGCGCCGGCGCGTGAGGCCTCTTCCGGCCATTTTTCGGCTTCGCTTCTTCAGGACAGTTGGATCGCCCTGCAATTCCGAGCCTGTCCATATTTTTATTTTTTAATTCCGACCACTTTGAGTTTTTCTGGCGACTACACTGATTTTTCCGGCAGCTACAGTACTTTTCCGGCAAACACAGTGTTTTCTTCATCTGTCTCAGAGAATTTTCAGTTGATTCTTTTTTGTTATTTAGTGATAATCCAACCATGTCTTTGGGAGTCGATGCTTTCGGGTCTAGAAACCCGAGTTCTGGCAGTTCCGGTGTTATGATTACCTCAGAACCTTTAATGGGAGGTTCAAACTACTTAGATTGGGCTTCATCTGTCGAGTTGTGGTGTAAAGGTCAAGGAGTTCAAGATCATTTAACAAAAAAGGCTAGCGAAGGTGATGAAAAGGCCAAAACACAATGGGAGAAGGTCGATGCTCAGTTATGTAGTATCCTGTGGCGATCTATTGATTCCAAGTTGATGCCCTTGTTCCGTCCATTCCAGACATGTTATTTAGTTTGGGAAAAGGCTCGTAATCTATACACTAATGACATATCTCGTTTCTATGATGTAATATCGCGAATGACAAGCTTGAAGAAACAGGAATTAGATATGTCTACTTACTTGGGACAAGTTCAGGCAGTCATGGAAGAATTTGAGACGTTGATGCCAGTTTCTGCTAGTATTGAAAAACAACAAGAGCAACGACAGAAGATGTTTCTAGTTCTTACACTCGCTGGACTCCCTAATGACCTTGATTCAGTACGTGACCAGATTTTGGCTAGTCCAACCGTCCCCTCAGTTGATGAATTATTCTCTCGATTACTTCGCCTTGCTGCAGCACCTAGTCACCCAGTGAGCTCATCACAGACACTTGACTCATCTGTCCTCGTATCCCAATCAGTGGACAATCGGGCATCTCATACTATGGAAAATAGACGAGGAGGAGGTCGTTTTGGAAGATCTAGACCCAAGTGCTCCTATTGTCATAAACTTGGACACACTCGTGATGTATGCTATTCTTTACATGGCCGCCCAACCAAAAATGCTTATGTTGCTCAGACTGAGACTACAGGTAACCAGGGATTTTCTTTATCTGAAGGGGAGTATAATGAGTTCCTTCAGTATCGAGCAAGTAAGCAGACATCTCCACAAGTAGCTTCTGTTGCTCAGACTAATACTTCTGTTGCTGGTAATTCTTTTGCTTGTGTTTCCCAGTCTAGTCCTCCTGGACAATGGGTTGTGGACTCAGCCGCTTCTGATCATATCTCTGGTAATAAATCACTTTTGTCAAATATTGCGTATTCACAGTCTCTTCCCACTGTTACTTTAGCCAATGGGTCTCAAACCAAAGCAAAAGGAGTTGGACAAGCGAATCCCCTACCCTCTGTCACTCTAGATTCCGTTCTCTATGTCCCTGGCTGTCCTTTTAATCTTGCATCTGTTAGTCGTTTGACTCGTGCCCTCCATTGTGGTATATATTTTATTGATGATTCTTTTATTATGCAGGACCGCAGTACAGGGCAGACGATTGGAACAGGACTTGAATCAGAAGGGCTTTACTACCTTAACTCCCTAAAATCCTCCAAGGCATGTCTAGTTACAGATCCTCCGGACCTAATTCACAAACGTTTAGGACATCCAAGCTTATCCAAGCTTCAGAAGATGGTGCCTGGTTTGTCTAGTTTATCCACATTAGAGTGTGAGTCATGTCAGCTCGGGAAACATACCCGAGCCTCCTATCCTCGTAGTATTGAGAGTCACGTAGAGTCTATTTTTTCTTTAGTTCACTCTGATATATGGGGTCCTAGTAGAGTCAGTTCAACCTTGGGATTTCGTTATTTTGTTAGTTTTATTGATGATCATTCAAGATGTACTTGGATTTTCTTAATGAAAGATCGTTCTGAGTTGTTTTCTATATTCCAGAATTTTTGTGCTGAAATTAAAAATCAATTTGGTGTTTCCATTCGCACTTTTCGCAGTGATAATGCCTTAGAATATTTATCCTCTCAATTTCAGCAGTTTATGACTTCTCAAGGAATTATTCATCAGACCTCTTGTCCTTATACCCCTCAGCAAAATGGGGTTGCAGAGAGAAAGAATAGGCACATCATTGAGACTGCTCGCACACTTCTCATTGAATCTCATGTTCCGCTGCGTTTTTGGGGCGATGCAGTTCTCACAGCTTGTTATTTAGTTAATCGGATGCCTTCCTCTCCCATCCAGAATCAGATACCGTATGCAGTATTGTGTCCCCAATCACCCGTATACTCTGTTCCCCCTCGTGTTTTTGGGAGCACTTGTTTCGTTCATAACCTAGCCCCTGGGAAAGATAAGTTAGCTCCTCGTGCTCTCAAGTGTGTCTTCCTTGGTTATTCTCGTGTTCAGAAGGGCTATCGTTGTTACTCACTTGATCTTCGTAGGTACTTTATGTCCTCTGACGTCACATTTTTTGAGTCTAAACCTTTCTTTACCTCTTCTGACCTTTCTGACCCCCTTGATATATCTGAGGTCTTACCTATACCGACCTTTAAGGAGTCTACTATAGCTCCTCCTTCACCTTCCGCCACAGAAGTCTTACCCGAGTCTCCTATAGCTCCTCCTTCACCTTCCGCTATAGAAGTCTTATCCATTCCAGCCGTTGAGGAGTCTAGTGTGGCTCCTCCTAGACTCCCTGCCACAGGAACACCACTTTTGACATATCATCGTCGTCCGCGCCCAGCATCAGGTCCAGCTGATTCACGTCCTGCACCTGACCCTGCTAATACTGCGGACTTGTCTCCTCTTAATCAACCGATTGCACTTCGGAAAGGTATACGGGCCACCCTTAATCCTAATCCCCATTATGTCGGTTTGAGTTATCATCGTTTGTCATCACCCTATTATGCTTTTCTATCTTCTTTGTCCTCTGTTTCCATCCCTAAGTCTACAGGTGAAGCATTGTCTCATCCAGGATGGCGACAGGCTATGATTGACGAGATGTCTGCTTTACATACGAGTGGTACTTGGGAGCTCGTCCCTCTTCCTTCAGGTAAATCTACTGTTGGTTGTCGTTGGGTGTATGCAGTCAAGGTTGGTCCGGATGGTAAGGTTGATCGTCTTAAGGCTCGTCTTGTTGCCAAAGGATATACTCAGATATTTGGGCTCGATTACAGTGATACCTTCTCTCCTGTGGCTAAGATAGCATCAGTCCGCCTTTTTCTATCCATGGCTGCTGTTCGCCATTGGCCCCTCTATCAGCTGGACATTAAGAATGCTTTTTTACACGGTGACCTTGAGGATGAAGTTTATATGGAGCAACCACCTGGGTTTGTTGCTCAGGGGGAGTCTCGTGGCCTTGTATGTCGCTTGCGTCGGTCACTTTATGGTCTAAAGCAGTCTCCTCGAGCCTGGTTTGGTAAGTTCAGCACAGTTATTCGAGAATTTGGCATGATTCAGAGTGAAGCTGATCACTCTGTATTCTATCGGCATTCTGCCTCGAGTCTCTGTATTTATCTGGTGGTCTATGTTGACGACATTGTTATTACCGGCAATGACCAGGATGGTATTACTAAATTGAAGCAACATCTCTTGCAACACTTTCAGACTAAGGATCTGGGCAAACTAAAGTATTTTCTGGGTATTGAGGTCGCTCAGTCTAGCTCAGGTGTTGTGATCTCACAACGAAAGTATGCCTTAGATATTCTTGAAGAGACAGGAATGACAGGTTGTAGACCGGTTGACACTCCGATGGATCCGAATTCTAAACTTATGCCAGGACAGGGGGAGCCTCTTAGCGATCCTGCAAGATATAGACGGTTGGTTGGTAAATTAAATTACCTTACAGTGACAAGACCTGACATTTCCTTTTCTGTGAGTGTTGTGAGTCAGTTTATGGATTCTCCGTGTGATAGTCATTGGGATGCAGTTGTTCGCATTCTTCGGTATATAAAATCAGCTCCAGGCAAAGGTTTATTGTTTGAGGGTCGAGGCCATGAGCAGATCGTTGGATACTCAGATGCTGATTGGGCAGGATCACCTTCTGATAGACGTTCTACGTCTGGATATTGTGTCTTGGTAGGAGGAAATTTGGTGTCCTGGAAGAGCAAGAAACAGAATGTGGTTGCTCGGTCTAGTGCAGAAGCAGAATATCGAGCAATGGCTATGGCGACATGTGAGCTAATTTGGATCAAACAGTTGCTCAAGGAGTTGAAATTTGGTGAGATTAGTCAGATGGGACTTGTGTGTGATAATCAAGCTGCTCTTCATATTGCGTCAAATCCAGTGTTCCATGAGAGAACTAAACACATTGAGATTGACTGTCACTTTGTTAGAGAAAAGATACTCTCGGGAGATATTGCTACAAAGTTTGTGAAGTCGAATGATCAGCTTGCAGATATTTTCACCAAGTCCCTCACTGGTCCTCGTATTAACTACATATGTAACAAGCTTGGTACATATGATTTATATGCACCAGCTTGAGGGGGAGTGTTAGAATAGTCATGTAAATAGGAGTAAATAAATAACCCTAATCCAATATATGTTAGGAGTAGGACATGTTATGTGTGTATATATATAGGGCTCATTGTAACATATGTATATACATCAATAATATATTTTCTCCCGTGCTTTCTCACAGCCTAAATTGCCAAATCGTGGAACCTCAGTTGAAGTCGTCAGTGCATAGTTAGTCATACAACTTTTGTACAGAAACTACACAAAACTGACAGGTCTGCCCAGAAAAATCATTAGAAAGTAGTTTGAGGGTAGTTAATCCAAGTTTAGGCTACAAAAAAGTCTCATTTCTTGGCCTTAAGGAATTCAATTATAGATGTTAAATACTTGGTTCATGCTACACTATGACATACGTTGGTAGTTTACTTGGTACAGTTATCGATTCTCAAGGTACAAGTAAATTTACATTATGTAGGATATGGCTACCACTTCAACTGCGCTGCAACTGTGAGAAGATGGATGGTTTATATTATAACTTACACGTTCAAGATGGACAAAGAGAAGCTGTTGGAAGAGAAAAAGAATAAGATATACTCTTGTTTATTTTTTCGTTGCTTAGTTTTTCTTCTCTTAATCCTTTGTAATTTGTATACATATTATATAACAAGTCTTAGAATTATGATTACGATGATTATGAAGATAAGTATCCAATGCAGGTAATATATATATGAATTAGGGTGGTCCTATCTTCTTTGAGGAAGGAATGTATATGTAATACATTTGTTTCTGTAATATATATCATGATCCCGGAATTTTAAAATTTCCAAATTACATGATTTCTTTTGGTACAGCAAGTTATTTATTAAAAGACCATTGCATTTGTTATCTTCACAGCTTATCGGAATTGGTCAATTTCTTGTTCTATTTTAACAGTTTCTCTCCTCTAGGGGTGGGCGTCGGTCGGTGCGGTACGGTTTGCAAGAAGTTCGTTTCGATTTATTCGGTGTTCGGTTATTGATTTGGTGCACCGACAACCGAACCAATATAACTTCGGTTGGTTCGATGTTTGAAACTACGGTTTGGTTTTCGGTTTTTGTTCGGTCGGTTATTGTCCTAATTTATCAACATTAAGCATAGATTAATTACCATATGTCATGGGCAATCTTCTTTGTATTTTGAAATTTGAATCATCTTTGTAAAAAAATTGGCTCCAGCCACTACTGCTAAACTTGTATTTTATGACCCAACAAACTTTTTTACAAGGTCATTTTGGATCGAAACTAGCTTAACAAAAAAATGTATTTGCTTCTGAAGTAAAAAACCTTCACTCAAGAAAAAATGAAAAGGACCGGCTGCACTATTTTCTTAAGGACGTGCACCTTCATACTCCACTGGAATTGCAATTTCCAGACAACACTAGTAAGTAGGAAGCAAAAAGCCAAAAAACATCTTATTACAAAGAAAGTAAAAAAGCCAAAAAGCAAAAAAATTAAAATATTGTTCCATATAGAATTGTTCGGTTTTTCTGTTAACCGAACAACCGAGGAACCAAAACCGTAAACCACACCGAATTAAATAGTTCGTAAACCGTACACCGGCAAATAATCGATTAAATCGAAACACAATCAAAATTTACGGTTCGGCCGGTATTATGCCCACGCCTACTCTCCCTTTCTTTTTCTTTTGCAAGTCAATTACCCCAGTTGACAATTTATTCATTGAAAATTTTGCATGACCCAATCTCCCTAGTTCTTTTTTATATAGATAAACACTCCCAAAAAGGGGTAATTTTCGTTCTTTTGCAAATGGCTGTTTTTACTCTCTTTTTTCACAAAGGATGATTAGATTCACCATGACCTTTCTCTTTTTTTCGTAAAAAAAAAAAAAGAATAACTTTTAACGAAAAAAAGAATAATTTTAGTAAATAAAAAAGTCTTTTAGCGCCTTTGGGCTAGTCAACTGCAAAAACCCTACACAAGAATCTGTTTCCCACCACATGAGCTCGCTGGGTCTCCCGCCATTGAAGGGTATCTGTCAGTCTGCCACCCATTAACATGGAGCTTGGAACTAGTTTTTTCAAAGCTACAAATGTTAACCAAACGCTGTCTTCTTACGCTGTCCCCAGCAGCCAACAGTTTATTAATGTTTCAAGTCCTTCCCTCTATCGCGCTAAACTTTCGCTCCCCACTAGGAAAGACTGCTGCTGTAGGGCAGCCGTTACAGGGATTATTAGTTCCTTAATAATTTCAGAAAAGGTAACCTTGTTTCCTTCTTCGTTTGGATGAAAGAATTCCAATTTCAAATTCAGCAACTTTTCTTAAGTTTTTATGATTTTGATGTTAGTAATATGTAATTTGCAATAAAGGGGAACTCTTGATATTAGAAACGCTTGAGTATTTTTTTTTTTTTGCCCGCACGGCGCACCCCCTTTAATGATAAGAAGAAATTGATATGGTGGTGGAATTATGTAAGGACAAAGCATGCTTGTCATAAACGTCAAAGTTCACATTTTTATCTAGTACTGTACCATTTTTCAAAATTTTTTTTATATCTTTTACCGATATTTGCTACTTAAATACCTCAGGATTTATCCAAATTCACAACCTACTGACATTCTCGTTACAAAGATAAGATTCTATTGTAGCTTGCTTCTTAACTTATAAAGTTCTAAGCTGCAAGAAGATGAACATTTTCAGATGCTTTCATGAAAACATTTTGCTACTCTCTTTTTATCTTCACGCTTTATGAAAATTGATAATGTAAGAGTTGTTATCAGTTACTGGAGTTAGGCACTGCACAAACAAGAAGAGATATACTAGTGTACTGCACAACCTATATATGAAGCATAAAATTGCTACGATAGTGTAGATGACTTTCGAAAAACGTTTCTCTAGCTGATTGGTTTTTGTAATATCATGAATATGAAGTAAACGCAATGAATAACACTAAGATCACCTTCTTTTTGGTTGGTTTATGGAACCACCAGTTTCCATTTCTTGATGGACAAGTTGATAAAGTAGCTTTCTAATTTTTCAGGCCAAAAGGATGTCTTCAGATCTCTCTCGTGATCTGGAACTCTCAAGTTTATCTGCTCCGTGCCCATTGGATGGTCGTTATTGGGGTAAAGTCAAGGAATTAGCTCCATATATGAGCGAATACGGCTTAATTCGATTCAGAGTTTTGGTTGAGGTATTGATATTTCATTGTTATTATCTATTTACTAGAATTGCAAGATCATAGGCTTAATCACTTGGTTTAATGCTGCTATCACTGAATTTTGGCAATTTACTCTGCTACTGTTGCATTTCTGAAAAAGCTGATTTTGGTGTTGCATAGGGGGGAAGGGAAGAAAGGATTTGCCTATGCCATCTCTAATGCCTGAAACAATTCTTTTCTTTCTTAGGAATTCGGTTCCTAGATTTTAATTCAATAAGCTAGATTTTAGCAAAATATTTTCAGCTAATACAAAGTGCTTTTGGTTCCAGATGCTGCTTTTTGTGAGTTAATGTTGTGTAGAGCAATGCAATACAAAGTTTTTGCAAGAGAAGGAGGATGTAAAGTCTATTTCGTACAATCTTGCAAAGAGCAATTGCCATAGTTCTAACAGTATTAGACTCTACTCTATAAAGCAACACTATTTAAAAAAGGTATTCAGAATTTCAGATTCTTTGAAGGGCAATACAGATTTATTGACAACTCAACTGCGAAAGCCCATATATGATGAATCTGAAATTATCTATTAGTTCACGTAGTGGTACCTACAGAACTAATGTTATGTGAAGGTTGGTACTTGCTAATAGAAAGGTGTGATGATGCAGTAGAATGTCAGCAATAATTATGGCGATATATTTTGCTCTATCGCCATGCATAATCTGTGAATTCTGTGACGAGGGGTCCATTAGTGATTCCAATTTATTCTAATTGAAGTTGCTTTTTCTGTTGCTTCTTACCTTTCATCCTTTTCCACATTAGTGAGAAGCAGGAAAAGGAATTTTTGACATTTAACTATCTGTCAGATTAAATGGTTGTTGAAGCTTTCCCAAATCCCTCAAGTCATTGAAGTTCCATGCTTCTCTGAAGGAGCTCAGTCTTTTCTGCAAAACTTGATTAATGAATTTAGCTTGGATGATGCACTGGAAGTTAAGAAAATTGAGAAAGTCACAAATCATGATGTGAAAGCAGTGGAGTACTTCCTGAAACAAAGATGCCAATCACATCCAGAGATAGTCAAGGTATATATAGTTTCTCTAGCACATGTTGCATTATACTATAGTAAACTTCCATGCCATTCAATCAAGTAGGAAAAGAAGACTTAAAAAGTACACATAATCTCTCTATCCCTGATCAACACCATGCATTTCTGCTTATTCTTCTTCTTGTCTTTTCTGTGGTAGGTGCTTGAGTTTTTCCACTTTGCTTGTACATCTGAGGACATCAACAACCTTGCCCATGCACTTATGATGAAAGAAGCTTTGAGCAAGGTCACCCTGCCTGTAATGGATGAACTAATTGCTGCAATCTGTAACGTGGCTACAACAAATTCTTCTGTCCCCATGCTTTCTCGCACCCATGGACAGGTAGATTTATGTGTATGATTTCTCATTTGGGTGCAGCTTTACAATAGTGCTTGAGTTTATTTCGGGAAAAAAAATGTTGTGCTTTCTTTTATGAATACCATGGAGTATAGTTTGCTTTGCACAAAGGTTTTAGACAATTGTAATCTTCAAGAATTACTATTCTTTCTGCACTTGTAGCCAGCTTCACCCACCACACTCGGAAAGGAAATGGCAATTTTTGCTTACCGATTAAGTAGGGAAAGGCAAGATATCTCTCAAATTGAGATGCTGGGGAAGTTTGCAGGTGCAGTTGGAAACTACAATGCTCACGTAGCTGCATATCCTGAAATAAAGTGGCCCCAAATTGCAGAGGAGCTTGTGATGTCTCTTGGACTGAAATTCAATCCCTACGTTCCACAGGTATGCTATATAGAAAAAGTTGTGGTGATTCATCAAACAAGGAGCCATGTTAGGTTACACATGGTTCTTTGTGCCCCTATACGTCACTCACCGTATAGGGGCGGGCTGGATGAAATGGAAGCTTGCATCGGGAGTGTTGTGTGACAAGAAAGTACCACCGTTACTCAAAGGTAAGTTTTATAGAGCTGTGGTTAGACCGGCCATGGGGCAGAGTGTTGGCCGGTTAAGAACTCCCATATCCAGAGGATGAAGGTAGCAGAGATGAGGATGTTGAGGTGGATGTGCGGGCACACTAGGATAGACAAGATTAGGAATGAGGATATTCGGAAGAAGGTGGGCGTGGCACCTGTGGATGACAAGATGCGGGAAGCGAGGCTTAGATGATTCGGGCATGTGCGGAGGAGAAGCCTTGATGCTCCGGTGAGGAGGTGTGAGCGGTTGGCCGTGGTGGGTACGAGAAGAGGTAGAGGGAGGCCTAAGAAGTACTGGGGAGAGGTGATCAGGCAGGACATGGCACGACTGCAGATTTCTGAGGATATGGCCCTTGATAGGAAGGTTTGGATGTCAAGCATTAGGGTTGTAGGGTAGGGGGTAGTAGAGCTTTGCGTACTTCATACCGAGGGTGAGGCGGGGTTGGATTAGGGTTGATCTTAGATAGCTTGCAGTTTATGTTGAATCCACACTATCCTTGCTGTTTATCTTAGCCCCGGGCCTTAGTTACTGGTTACTGTTATTGCATGCCATTTATCTTTTGGTTGTTATGCTTCTGTTACTATTATGGTTTCTACTGGAGTTACTAATGAATTGTCTCTTTCTCTTTTTCCTTTTTCTGAGCTGAGGGTCTATCGGAAACAGCCTCTCTGCCCTATCGGGGTAGGGGTAAGGTCTGCGTACACATTACCCTCCCCAGACCATTTTGTGGGATTTTACTGGGTAGTTGTTGTTGTTGTTGTATATTATTCATTCACTAGGAAGGGAGAGGCCACATTAATTATTTCCTGTGAAACATATGTGCACATTAATTATTTCCTGTGAAACATATGTGCAAATTTTAGTTTGATAACATCTGAATAAAAACCCTTGAAGTGCAGATTGAGACTCACGACCTATGTTGCTCGGACTCTCCGAAAATGTCAGTGGATGCGTGTCGGATCCTTCAAAAATAGTGCATTTTTGGAGGATCCGACACGGGTGCGGCTCCATTTTGGAGGGTCCGCGCAACATAGCTCACGACTACATGGCAAAACTTTTTCATTCAATTATCCAGTTCAACAGCATTTTGACTGATTTTAATAGAGATGTATGGGGATATATATCTCTGGGTTACTTCAAACAGGTGAATGCCCACATATTTTTTGATATTGTTTTTTGTCTCTTACTTAATGAAGGAATTTACGTTCTCCTATCTTAAGCAGATAACCAAAGCCGGGGAAATTGGGTCTTCAACAATGCCCCACAAAGTTAACCCCATTGACTTTGAAAATAGTGAAGGCAATCTCGGAGTAGCCAATGGAGACCTATCTCATCTAAGCACTAAGCTACCTATTTCAGGCTGGCAGGTATATTTTCTCCCCTCGCTCCATCTGTTTCACCTTTCTCCATAATTCTGCTTTATAATTTTAGCTTCTCCTTATTCGTTTGGTATCACATATACTTGGGGCTAAGCAGATTTGATGGTGTCGTCGTTTTCTATAAAAAGTAGATTCAGCTAGAGAAATACAATTGTTTTTTCTCTCTGTTTGTGGGTTCTATTGCTGTTGCTGCCTCTACAATTTCTTCTTGTGTCTCATATTCTTATTCCTTGGTGTGCTTGCTATTTTCAGCGGGACTTAACAGATTCAACTGTTCTGAGAAATATGGGAGTGGGGCTAGGACAATCTCTTCTTGCTTACAAAAGTGCATTGCAAGGAATTGCAAAGCTTCAGGTGAAAAGTGCATCTTGAAATGCTATTTTATTCTCTGATAACTGTACAAAAAGTCTTTAACAAAAAAGATTTTGCATCTAATCTTCTGCCTGCAACTGGATTTATCTAGCAATCATGGTGTCACAGAGCTCATTTACATGTAGAATCTGGCATCAGCCTTCTCTTTTTCTTCCTATGTATTTATTAGAGAGATCAGCATAGACATTTTCACTTATTAGTATTTGTAAACACATACACCTTCTGGATTGCTTCGGGGGGTTGCTGTTGGGTTGGCGATCATTGATCTATATATGGATTTGGGTAGCCAAGTGCTATTAATTGTATTTACTGTTTTGGATGCATTTCTCAGAGACATTAATATAGTTCACATTCACAAGATATTAGTTAGTTTTAAATTGATTACATTTTTGTATGCAATGACTAACTTATTCAGTTTTACATAGGTTAATGAAGCTGCCCTGGCTGAAGACTTAAATAACTCGTGGGAGGTCCTTGCTGAACCAATACAAACAGTATGTAACTTAATTTCTTCTTCTTTTTTTCTGGATGAAGTCCTGTTTTATCATCACATGTTAGCACAAGTCATTCTGAAAGGTATGTCAGTTATATCACAGAAAAGAATGCGTCTGTAGGCATAATAGAATTTTTTTTAAAAATTTTGCCATGATCATAATTGACTGTGTATAAAACTAATCCCCTGCCCCAAAAGCTTTCTCTTGTTCATTTATGCTTTGTCTTTTAGGTGATGCGCAGGTATGGTGTGCCAGAGCCGTATGAGAAACTGAAGGAATTAACCCGAGGGAGAGCAGTGACCAAAGAAAGCATTACAGAGTTCATAGAAAAGTTGGACATTCCAATTGATGCAAAGACAGCTCTCTTGAACTTGACACCTCATACTAACATTGGAGTAGCTGCTGATTTGGCAAAGAACATAAACAAAGCGATAAATATGGTTAACAGGAAATAAAAGTCGGATACTTCTGTAGTGAATTTTTTTGATTTGCTTGGAATGTCCATTGAAGCATGTGAATGAGCAGATGTGGTATCATGTTGGATGTCATAGAGATGAGCAAATCAACACAACACATTGTCAATCGTTGGAGGTTATCAATCTGGATATGAGAATGCATCATAATCTTGAAAATCCAACTGGATCGGTAACTAATTCTTTACGTTAATACGAATCTGTTATACTATTTGGCTCCCAATCTATGTTATTTGACCATGTGAAAGGGACTGTCTATATGAGATTGTGATTTAGGTTTTGATGCAGAGTTTCTAGTGTAAAGAATTTTGGGATGCTAGATAGAAGAAATGTTGAAAGACTCAGTGACAGAGGCGGACCTATACAGGGGCTTGAGGGGTCACGGAACCGTTTGCCTTGGCAAAAATCCTGTATATATATTTAATATATAGCTGTATATACTATGGGGACCCTTAAATATTTTTCTTGGCCCCCTCAATAACTAAAGGCGGGCTGGAGCGATGGTCTGTGTGTTGTGTGAGTTCCGTCTCTTAGTTGGCTAACAACCTGGGTTCAAAACTAACCATCAGCAAACTCCTTTTTTAGTTGTTTTACTTTTTGGTTTGCTTTTTCTGACGGGAAATATGTACTAGTACTACTGTACAACAGTACTATTTAATAGTTGACTGATTTATATTTTTTATTTTTTCATTTCTGCATTTAATTATATTGTAATAATTATACATAATAGCCAACTTTATTATTTTATTCTTCTCCAAAATCCTACCCTCAAAATCAAAAACCCCAAAAGGCTAACCCCCTGGGTTCGAAACTAACCATCAGCAAACTCCAATTTTAATTGTTTTACTTTTTGGTTTGTTTTTTCTGACGGGAAATATGTACTAGTACTACTGTACAACAGTACTATTTAATAGTTGACTGATTTATATTTTTTATTTTTTCATTTCTGCATTTAATTATATTGTAATAGTTATACATAATAGTCAACTTTATTGGTTTATTCTTCTCCAAAATCCTACCCTCAAAATCAATAATAGTCAACTTTATTATTTGTTCTTCTCCAAAATCCTACCCTCAAAATTAAAAACCCCAAAAGGCTAAAATCCAGATGAGTTTGGTGAATTGAAGCTTCGAGATCTTAGTCACCAACTCGACACGCTTATATTGCACATGCAACGTGGTGACCCTAGATTCTCGGATTTGAAATGAATTGGTGATTTGGCAAAAGCGTTGGTTGAGGTAAATCTTGTGGAAACATATTCACTTGTTTATTTACTAGTGAAGTTGACTCTAATTTTACCCATCACGACTGCAACGGTAGAAAGAGCAGTTTCATCCATAAAGTATATCAAAGATGAATTGCGTAGTAGAATTAGTGATGCATTTTTAAATGATTAGTTTGTCACTTTGAAAAGGAAGTATTTGCAAATGTAAGCAATAATGCTATTATTGACTGTTTTCAGAATATGAAAAAACGTCGAGTTCAAGTATGAGTGGATGATGATGTACTTTTGTTATATTAGTATCAAATTAAATATTCTATAACATTGAAATTTGTATTTTGATGTAAGTTATGCCTTTTTTTAGCTCTCTTTTTTAGACAACCATAGATATTAATGTATGTCGCGAATTGCTATTAAATCCACTGAGCTAGTTTTACATTTTAAGTTTATTCCAGTTTATAGCCCGTTTGGCCAAGCTGCAAAAATCAGCTTATTTTGAGAAGTGCTTTTCTTCAAAAGTGCTTTTCTCAAAAGTACTTTTGGTGAGAAGCAGTTTGTGTTTGGCTAATTAGTTTGAAAAGCACTTCTGAGCAGCAATTAGTGTTTGGCCAAGCTTTAAAAAACTGCTTCTAAGTGTATTTTTCTCAAAAGTGCTTCTCAAAAAAGTGTTTTTGGAGAGAAGCTACTTTTTTCTGCTTCTCCAAAACTGCTTCTGCTTCTCCTCAAAAGCACTTTTTTTCCTTCCAAAAGCTTGGCCAAACACCTCAATTTTTTGCCAAAAGTGCTTTTGGCCAAAAAGAAGCTTGGCCAAACAAGCTATTAGTCCATTTGTGCGCAAGGATGAGCAGGAAAACTTTATTATTTAACGGAAAGCTTATTTTAAAATTTGTGCTCGCATGTCAATTGAGAAGTCTGATGAAATCGAAGCGTAAGGTCTTCTTACTTTATTTTTGCTTTTTTACTTAGCAAGTGTATATTATATAGTGAATTATGCTGCTTATTTGGTCTATCCTAGAGTTTATATGTATTCTTTTATTGGCTAATAAAGTTTTCGGTAAGTCACTCTAATGGCAGTGGTGCCCCGTCATATTCAAATCTTGGGTCCGCCTCTGCTCAGTGATGTATTATTTATATTACATGCAAGTGATCCTATTTGCTTCTGCTGTTTAACATGTATTCAATCACAAAGTCTCCTGACGATTGCTCCATAAACTCAATAAATTGAAGTATGAAATAATATTATTCTGAACTTAGAGGAAATAATTAGCTTGTTCCTTTATCTTGACTTCTTGAGCTAACATGAACAGAAGTCTCTGAAGAATTCTTCCCAAAATCAGATACAAAATATACAAAAGGCATATTGTATAAAATTAGTATAAAAATTGTGTTTAAGTTGTATGATACTGTAGTTGTGTATAACTGGGTACAAATAATGTATGAAAGTTGTAGATAAATTTTACAAGCATATGACATAAGCTTTGAGATTTTTTCGGTCTCTTTTAATTTAGACGATTTGGTATTCAAAATTCATCCAATATGAATGGACCCAGGTTCATCTGTTTTAGATTTCTGCTTCGTCTAATTCTGTCCAGATCTAAGCATATATTCAGAACTCCCCTTATCAAACAAAAGAAAGATACTGACCCATAATATCAAAGGCGCGGGATACTTGTACTTGCCCTTTAAAATAATGAAATGATAATTACCCTAGTCCAATACAAATTTGTCAGAAAGCAGAAACTTGAGTCTTTTCTGATAAATTTGATTTGTTGAAACGTTAATAGCATTACTGAGAATACGATGATTGAAGGCACTGCCGATGATTGCAGAAAAATAAGGAAAGAGAAGAAGAGAAAAAAAAAGTAAAGGGTGTAACTAAATCCTTTGATTGAAGGCACTAATAATGGATTTGGAGCCTTTTAAGGTAGAATGTATATATTTTGTAAACAAAACTTGTGTAGGTCGGGTAATTAACTAAACATGGACATTTAAGGTAATAAAATTTCCAATAGTGTATAGGAATGAAAAAATCCCATTTTGTTATATGTTATATTAGTCTATTATTCATATGTCAATAGTAACAAGTCATATCCAATCCGAACTGCCCGAACGCCGGCCTTATATTTTGGTATTAGAAATTATACTGAATTTTACTAGGTTAATTGTAAAATTGGTGTTGCAATCAAATACTAGTGGCTAGAAAAGCACATCGTAAAGCAATCTATTCCCTCAGGTTATCAAGGTGATCAGTACACCACCAGATACTCTCATACAGTCATACTTTAAGATTGTTTTTCTTGATACTATTATTTCTAATTATCTTCAAATTACCCATGTCCTATACAACCAGATACTTTTACTATTCCTGCATTCTGTTAGTTCTTATCTTTCTGAGTTCTTGGAATTAAGCCACCAAGAGGTATATATATGAGTTACCAAAATGAATCGTTTCTACTCTGGTAAGAGCGTAGGTATTAACTGTTAAATTCTCGTTCTAATCCTCCAACTCCAAGTGGTATTTATGTAAAGATGGGTTCAGAATATAAACTTTGTGAATCCAGGGTCGAAATTATTTAGTGAATTTAACGAAAAAACAAATTTACTGGGTTCTTCATATGGATTTCCATATATTGTGAGTTAGATCTGCCCCTAATTAATGTCAAGATAAAAGGAGGGGGAGGGGGAGGAAACCAATAAGTGGTCTTAATTAAACGAAATAACTAAATATGGACCTTTCCGATCCAGAGACAGCTGGAACAGTGTGATGGTTATTAAATGTTTAAAGTAGTTCAGCCCAGATATTTGTGCATGAATTGTTGCCTAAGAGATTTACCGACAGCCATTTAAGTCATATACCTAAATGGCCAGTGTGAGCAGTGGGGATGTACAGATACGTCGGGTTCATTTGAACCTGGTGTTTTTGACACTATGTTAAAAACACTAAAATTTTATAACAAATATCAGAGCCTAAACTCATAATTTCAAAAGTGTATATAAGTTCAATTCTAAGTTAAAATCCTCTATCTGTATCTGACTGTGAGAGTGCCACTGTTCAGTTGTAGGGGTGGCAAAATAATTAGAAGATTACAGTTAACCACCTATATTATCCACTAATATATGGGTTGGATAATGAACTTTTTAAGAACGCGTCAAATATGGATAAGAACCATATTATCCATTTAGAAAATAGATAACCAATAGGTAGCCAATAGATAACCAATGGGTCTAACTTTTACATTTGTAAAACCTTAAATTAGGGGTTCCTCAAGTTAAGAAGACTAAGAATTCTCCCAAAAGTGATCATATGCAAGAAGTCACGGATAATATGGTTACTCATATTATCCGCCGGTTAACCTATTTTTTATCCGTATTAAATATGGGTCGGGTCGGATAATTTATCCGTTTTTTCATTACCGTTTTCGACCCGAACCATATGCGACCCGTTCCGCCCATTTGCCACTCCTATTCAGTTCCAAGAACAAACGGTTGAACATCAAATTAAAATCCTCTATCTACCTCTGAGTGCGAGTGTGCCACTGCCACCATTGCATGCTAATAGTAATATGTTAAAATAGAGCTTCCATTTGTACATGCAACCATGCTTCAATATCCGGTTGGAGTACTAGAGCTGTAATTCATGATAACCATTTTAATACATACATACATATAATCGTAAGCAAATTAAAGTGCGGTATATATCCAACTGCTCCAATATAATGACGCTTTCTATATAAATAGCACTAAACAGTTCTACAACTTCACAAATTAATATTGAAAGGTCAAGTTCAAAAGAATTATGCTAGAGTCTGTAGCTTCGCATATACAGCTCATCCAACTACACTGATCTTAGTGGGAACTAAAGCTTGGTTCCAAAAATGTGTATCCGAGAGATGTTTGGAACACGAATTTACTCTTCTTCTTTAAATGATCTGGGTCCACTACTAGAATTGTGGGAATTACCGACCAAAAATTTGCGACCAAAGTTGGTCGCTAATGTGGAGAAAATTATTAAATAATTATTTTAAATAATTTATCGACCAGGGTTGGTCGCTTTTTGGTCGGTAAAGTGGTCAATATGTTGACCGGGCTGGTCAGACTTGCTTGGTCAAAGAAATATTGAAATTAGCGACCAACTTTGGTCGCTAATGTGGGACCCAATTATAACGTTTTAATAATTATATTATTACTTAAAATATTTTATAAAATATAAATAAATATTATTTAAAATTGGCGACCAAAGTTGGTCGGTTATGAAAGGGGAAGCAAGTAGCGACCAACTTTGGTCGCTAATTTGGGACCCAGTTATAACGTTTAATAATTATATTATTATTTAAAATATTTTATAAAATATAAATAAATCTTACTATTTAAAATTAGCGACCAAGTTTGGTCGCTAATTTTTAATTTCTGGATAATTAGCCACCAAAGTTGATCTCTTTTCAGGTCAACATTGGTCAAAATT